GGCCAGAGAGAGAGAAGCAGGCTCCCTACTGAGCCTGGTGCCCAATGCAGGGCTCAATCCCAGGACCCTGAGATGACCTGAGCCTAACTCAGAAGCTCAACCAACTGAGCCACCTGGGCGCCCCATGAAGTCATTATTTTAAAATATACATACATTTCCCAGCTCTGCTTAACTAAAAGAACCTAAAAGTAATGGAAAAGAGATGGTTTACCACATACAAACAAACAAGCAAGTAAGCAATACCATCACTGATTATATGTGGGTGGTAGGATTACAAGATTTTCCAAAAAAAAAATTTTTTTAAAGATTTTATTTACTTATTTGACAGAAAGAGACACAGCAAGAAAGGGAACATAAGCAGGGGTTGTGGGAGAGAGAGAAGCAGGCTTCCGGCTGAGCAGAGAGCCCGATGCAGGGCTCAATCCCAGAACCCTGGGATCATGACCTGAGCCAAAGGCAGACGCTTAACGACGGAGCGACCCAGGCACCCCCCAAAAACTCTTTTGTACTTGTATTCCCTCTCCCTCCAAAATACTAAAACTTCAACCATTTCTTCCAGTAGCAATGCTCTTACTACTTCAAAATGGAAACTCACTACCCAAGGAACTGTTCTAGCCAAAGACTCAGTGAATCCAAATAAACCACTCATTGTAAGTTAAAGCTTGGTAAATCACCAGGAAAAGGACACTTACTCTTCCTTAAGTCTCTTTTGAAGCTTGTCTTTTGAAAGTTTACTTTCACTGGCATTTTTCATCATATCTTTCCGGAACCGATTGCTCATCATGTCAACCCTATTAAAAACAGAACAACAGTATGCTTTAAACGACCTTGAAAGATTTGTCGTAACTAGTTGTTGCCTTTAAAAATTTGAGAACACATTTAACCAAATATAGGTCAAGATCTGTGAGGTGCACAGTATCAAATACACATTAATTTTTGAAAAAAGATAAACACGTAAAAGAGAATGCTCTGAAAAAATACCAATGACTAATAACAAAAATCACACAAATAAAGAAGTTATTTCCCACCCATTAAACTGACGAAGTCTAAAAAAAAGATAAGCATTGTTTTTAAGAATGGAGTGAAATGGACACCTTTCAATGGGAAGGTAAACTGGGAGAACCTCCTGGTCAGTCTGGCAGTTTTTATCAAGACTCTGACACATGCTCATGCCCTTTGATTAAGTAATTCTACCTCAGAAAATCCTTCTTACAGAAGCAATTAGAAAGGAGAAAAAGGGTTATGCAGAAAAACATTTGTCTCAACATCAACTTATCAAAGGGAAAAACAGGAAAACCTATCTGACAATACCTACATAAATTGTAGTTAATTCATGTAATAGACTATAATACATTTAAAATCATTTATAAATGTTTTTATTCTTCAGTGGGGATAAACGCTTGCAAGACAATGCATTTTCATCTCTTAAAACCACAGTATTGAGTGTGTTAGCTTTTTTTCTAGCCTTTTCTCAGTTTCAGACATTGTGCTAAGAGCTCCATATACATTATTTCACTTAATCTCAAGAGCCTTCTGATATTACTATTATTATTATCTCTGTCCGAAAGAGAAAAGGCAGGTTTCAAACTTGCCCTTGATCACTTAGGAACCGGCCACATTAAAAGACAAACTCAAACGTGACACCAAACACTACGCTTTCTTTGCCATTCAATACAGCACACAAGAGAAGAGGGCAGGAGAGAAGAATGCCAATACCTAACAGCGGTTCTCCCTCGATGTGAGTTTATGAATGACCTTTTCCTTTCTCTGCTTTACAGTATTTTTCAAATCTTCACGTAATCATATATTTGTAAAGAGAACTTCTTTAAAACTTACAAAATATTATTTTAAATATCCAGAGGGAATCTGGAAGAAAAAATAGGCAACTTACATTTCATCATCTTCATCTTCTTCATCCACCCAAACTGGCTTCTTTTGAAACCGAAAATTATCTTTTGCTTCATTCTCCACTTCCGAGTCACCTGAGTCTTCCTGCACTTGAACCTAGAGAAGACAGATGCCCTCAAGCACTGAGTTTTTCAGCAGACGCACACACCTTACAGTTGGAATGCTTCTTTAGGCCCTCTGATGGAGTAATGGGACAGAATGTTAACCATGGCAAATGGATGAAGGACCTCAATGTGAGAAAGGAATCCATCAAAATCCTTGAGGAGAACAGAGGCGGCAACCTCTTCGACCTCAGCCGCAGCAACATCTTCCTAGGAACATCGCCAAAACCATGGCAAATGCTGGAAGCAGAATAGAAAATGCGGAGAGAATGGCACCGTATGCTGGACAGGCAGGCAGGATGAACAGTCAAGGAAAAGCTGACATGCTGAAAAGAAAGGACCAAGTAAGATAAGAAAAACAAAAGATAAGTTGACAAAAGAGGAAAATGAGCTGGAAAAATCCAGGAACTACAGAAATCATGGGACCAGAGGCAGACTAACACCAAAAATTATGTGACTGAATACTATAACTAACTGGCATTTCATTAGTCTTAGACATACTGCTTCTCCATTGTTCATAACCATTCCTGACCCCCTTCCTTAAGAAAATTTACCCTAGACTATTAAATCTAAATCCACACCACAGAAAACTCCCAGAAGTTGAGCTCGAGCTTTCCCAAAAACCGCTAATAGACATGTCCAAATATTTTCTCGCTCTTCTGTTACCAGTCTATGATCCTTCAAAGCCCGATAAATCCCACCTCACAAAGACTGTTCCTTTGTTCTTGACCATAAAAAGTCCCAAAGGCCAGCAGTTTTCCAATAACAGTTCTCTATCTGCCAAAGAGATTTCTGCAGACTCCCTCATAAGCACCCAAAGGAGATACTGACAATCAAATGACACTGGCCACTTGTGAGGTGGGTATTCTTTCACCAAACAGTATTCTCGGTGAGGCTTTGCTTGGCCACACCACGTAGAATTTCACTGGCCTCTACAAACACTTGTCTTCCTTTCCCTAATGCTTTTTTTTTCTCTTCAGCATATGTCTCTGACATATTTGCATTTTACTTTATCTTCTTTTTGCGCCACTAGTACACATGGTCTAAAACAGCAAGGGACTTTTGTGTTTTTGTCCATTGCTGTGCCTCCTCCATTGCCTAGAACAAGACCTGGAACTCCCTATCTTGGAAGAAATATCAGGTGTAGCATAAAAGAGATGATTAAAAGTGGCTCCTAAAAAGTGACTTAAAATGTGCAAAGGTGGGGGGCGCCTGGGTGGCTCAATGGGTTAAAGCCTCTGCCTTCGGCTCGGGTCATGATCCCAGGGTCCTGGGATCCAGCCCCAATCGGGCTCTCTGCTCAGCCAGGAGCCTGCTTCCCCCTCTCTCTTTGCCTGCCTCTCTTGTCTACTTGTGATCTCTCACTGTCAAATAAATAAAATCTCTTTTTAAAAATGTGCAAAGGGGGCGCCTGGGTGGCTCAGTGGGTTAAGCCGCTGCCTTCGGCTCAGGTCATGATCGCAGGGTCCTGGGATGGAGTCCCGCATCGGGCTCTCTGCTCAGCAGGGAGCCTGCTTCCCTTCCTCTCTCTCTGCCTGCCTCTCTGCCTACTTGTGATCTCTCTCTGTCAAATAAATAAATAAAAATCTTTAAAAAAATTAAAAAATTAAAAAAATGTGCAAAGGGAGTAAAAAGGGATGATAATAAAAAGCAAGCAGGGTTTTCATTGCTCGAAAAAATATGTGGCCCCCAACAAACGAACAATGATCTGGCGAACAAATGCACGATCATTCTCAGAAGCTGGCGAGTCCATCACTTGGGAAGCTGTTAAAAACGCACATTCTGATTCCGTAACTCCTGAATCCCAACAAGGTACTGAGGCAGGGGATCGAATGGCCACAAAGAAAGAAACACAGGGTTTCGATCTGAGCCGCGAAAAAATGCTCACGACTGCCCTAGGCTACACAGACGTGTAGAGCGCCTGATGGATACCCGGCGCAGGGGCTCCCCCCGCCCCTCCACCCCGGGGGCGGGGAAAAGCAAGGTCTCCGCCCAGTGGAGACTTCCAGTCTGGCCCCCGTCGGCGCCCGCGTTTTCGGGCGCCCGCCGACCTGAGCGCTCTCGGCGCCCCAGGTCGCCCAGGCTCCGCCCCCGGAGGCTCACCGCCCACCGTGCGCCCCGCCTGAGCGCGCCCAGCCCGCGCGCCGCGGCCTCCCTCACCCGCGAGCCCTGCAGACGCCGCAGCAACGCGTCCTCGTTGTCCTCGACGTCGCCGAACACCAGCTCCTCCAGGCACCGTTCCACGGCCGGTTTGTCCTCCTCCAGCGTCAGGCGGTTCCGCTGCCGGAGCCGCCTTTCCTCCTCCGCCGCGACTGCGATCGCAGCGGCTGCTGCGCTCGGCCGGGCCGGCGGTTTCCGCTGGGATGAAGGAGCAGCCTTTCGGGGCGGCCCGCCCGGCCCAGCTCCGGCTCTCCGGCCCGGCTTCGTTCGCCTCTTCCGGTCCAGACTCACTCCGGGCCTCCGCTCCGGTTTCGTTCGGCTTCTACGTTCCGGCGGCATCGTTGGGTTGGAGAAGAAACGCAGGCGCTCACGTGGAACCTCGCTGCGCGTGCGCCGAGGCGGTTTGCTGCCCGCCGCCGCTGAGGCCCCGCGGGGTCGGAAGGAGCCTGCGCGGCCTGTTAGCACGTGACCAACACTCTCTCCCTACGTAACGCCCACTCCCCTCAGCAACCCCTCCCCGTAGGGGAGTTCCTCCGGGAGGACCGATTTTCCGGGTGGAGGGGGAAGCGGCGTGACTGGAGTGGAAAATTTTTTCCAACACAACTTCGCAGCTGCAACTGATTGAAGGGGGCACAAGAAAGCGAGAGTATAAGCTGGGATGACTGAATGAAACTTCTCTTCTTCCTTACTTTTTAACCACTCGACTTAACACGAGCCGCGATTGCCTTTTCCACCCCCTTGTCTTGGTACGGCCCTTGGAGTACGGAGCCTGCAGAGGGTCCCACGCTGGAGGAGAGAGAGAGGAGGGTATGTAGGGAAGTGGGCCAATCGGGGCGCGGGTCACGGCGCAGGCGCGCTGGGGAGGGAGGGCTATGCTAATGTTGTTGATATCCTGGGGCCACCCGAGTTAAAGGGGGGAAATCCGGGGGCTGCCGCAGCCGCCGCCGGTCTGGGCACAGCGGGGGCCCCCCCTGTAGTCGCCGTAGTCCCAGGGAGAGGCGCCTGCCCCCAGCTCGGGGAGGGGGCGCCGCGGGCCCGGGGAGCACGGACAACCCCTACCCATGAGGCCCTGATGGAAAACACAAAGGATCTGGTGAGAGCCGAGCGCGGCAGCCGCTTTGTGTGCCAGGTGGGGGGGACGCCTGCAGCTCCCCGACCCCAGCAACCCCTGCAGCTCCCTGAGCCCCACTCCCAGGCCTGCTTCTCCATCCCACGCCCCCTCAACCTCTAGAGTCCCCCTCCCCCTACCGGCCGTTAAACGATTCGGGGGGTTCCCCTCCCCCCACCCCCTCAGCCCCGGACTTGGCGGGGGTTCTCTCTACTCCCTCCACTCTTTGGGAGAAAAATTTTAGAAGAAAGTTTTTCTCTGCGTCCCGCCCCCCCTCCCCCTTCAGCTCTGGCTGCTGGTCGGGGGGAGAGGGAGGCTGGATTGGAGACTTTTCCTTTTTTAGCCGTCCAAGGTGGGAGAGTGGAGTCCTCCCTTGCCCCAGAGGGGCCTAGTTTGGGTGCTTTGCGGGGGAAGGTGCTTATCGGCCCCGGGGCGAGTGCCGCGAGGCATTTTGCACGTGGAGGTGGAAATATTGAAAGGGGGCGGGGTGGGCACGTGTGGGAGGGAGAGGTGGGAGTGGTGTTTGGGCAGCAGCCACCTGGGTCGCTTATTTAAAAGGGGTCTAGGTCGGTGGGCTTTCGGGACCGTTGCGTTCTCTTTTGTGAAATGAGAATCCTAACATTTCAGAGTCGGAAGAGACATTAGAGGTCACCCAAAGCAGCCGTCCCCTCTGCAGCCTGACAAGTGGTAGGTAGTCTGGTCTCTGCTTAAACCTTTACCAACACTGAACGCTCACTGCTGCCCCGGAAAGCCCGTTGCTTTTGAATTGTTGTTTGCCTACCCTTATTAGACCCTCTAGTCTCATTCATGTCCTTGTTAAGTTGCTCCCTTTTTTACTTCTCAAATTTTCTCTCACATCCTCCTCACCCACCCACCGCTCATTGGCCTATATTTTGTGTGCCAGGAAAGAACAGCAGGGAAGTGGAGGAAGGAGGGTTTGAGTGAGAGTGAGGGCCAGCTGAAAACTTTGCTGGGTCATTTTCAAATGCGCTGGTTTGTATGCCTGAGAATGGTTGATATTTTTCTACAGGAAGCTTGGGAATTACAGTCTGGGATTTCATGGCTGTTTTCTCTCGCTAGTGCATCTGTCCGAAGGCAAAAAAAAAAAAAAAGTCCGCAGCAACTCTGTATTACTCTCTCAAAGTGCATTTGTTTGTGCCTAAATTTTCCCTAAAGCTGTCTAAAATTGTCTTTGGGAGGTAGTACTGCGGCTTTTAGAAGCATCTCTTCGTACAGAGGTGGCCAGTACTGCGCCCCTCCCCCTTCCTTTTGACCTGTGTCTTCCTTTCAAACTGGACTTCCTTCTCAAGTCCCTCCTTCACAGCACTTTCATTTCTTTTTTATTACTTACTTCTGTGGTTCTTTGATGAGATTTAAATTTTTTGTAGCGCTTCTATTTGCGTACAGTTTGCAATAGTTTTCATGTTCTTTACATTAGTATATGCCATTTATCACTCAGTCGTTGAGATGGTTCCCTTTCTGCTGTTGTCAGTTAAGGTTTTTCTAATGTTCTTCATTTGGTGAGCTGTGCTGCCTCCAAAAGTAGTTTTGTTGGCATAAAATCTTCAGGGCACTTGTTTTTTCTCTTCCTAATATAGTGAAGTGGAGTCAAGACGTAACAGATAAGATGTAGAATTAATGATTTGGTCTAAAAGCCAGAGAATAAATTTCCTCTTAAAGCTACCAGTCCCCTGTTTAAAATACTGAAACATTTTTCTCTTTCCCCCTGTCATGACTTGAGACTCTTGTTCTGCTCTACTATGCTTACTTAGACTTTATTTTTTTTGTTTGTTTACCTCAACATCAGTGAGTGTTTAGAAAGAAAATAGCTGTTTGGGGGGCGGGGGGGTCTTTTTTTTGTTTTGTTTTTTGTTTTTTTTGCACCATCTCTTTCTCTGAATAACAAGTAACTTCTATTTATATAGAACCCCATCTCAAGGCTTCTGGCTGCCTTGCAAATTACAGCAGAACTGTCTTGAATAAGTATTTGTTCATAAGTATCTTATGTTGGGCCATGTTTTTCAACAATCCAGTTTTTAATTTTATAGAGTTTGATGTCAGTTTCATCTTAATCTAATGACTAGAATTTAACATGGAAATGAATACTAGGTATACAAAAAAAACTGATAGAGCTGTGTAATTCTGTCTTTAAAGTTCTAATTACCATGGAATTCCAAGTTATTTTCCTGCTCACTTTAAACATGAACTGTCATGACTTAAGCTGACTGACTTTGGAGACATTTGCATTCTGATCATACTAGACAGGAACAACTGGTTTTATTTCTAAAGAAGACACTGTTGTATTTTTTGTGACTGGTTATATGTTGTCCTGGTTAGAGTCTAAACCTTCCTACACAGATGCTTCTAGGCTCTCAAATTGTTGAAGATATAATAGTCAAAAGAGGGTAGAGCTGTAGGTTACAAGTGAAAACAACATATTAATGTCATAAATACAAAACCACTAGATTACTGAAAGCCAGGAGTGCTCAGTGGTTTGAGTGACCACATTCTAAAATTAGTCGTCACTATTTTTTGATTGCTCTTTCTCCGTTTTCATCTTTAAAATGTTTGCTGAATAAGATGTAACCTTTTCGCATTTAAATATTAAGGTTAAGCCAGTTAAAATGAACATTAACTTCAGGGTTTCGATTCAAGAGAAAGATAAAAACATGAGGTCAGCAGAAGAGGAAGGAATTAAAATAAGCAAGGTAAAATATTCCTCCTAACACTAGGATATTGGTAACTGTCCAACACTACCTTTAGTTTTATGCAAAAATTGCAGATTGGTTTACGTTTAATCATTTTTTTTAAAGATTTTTACTTATTTATTTGACAGAGATCACAAGTAGGCAGAGAGGCAGGCAGGGAGAGAAAGAGAAGGGGAAGCAGGCCCCTGGCTGAGCAGAGAGCCCAATGTGGGGCTCTATCCCAGGACCCTGAAATCATGACCTGAGCCACCCAGGCACCCCAGTTTACATTTATTTTTTTATTTTATTTTTTTACATTTAATCATTTTTAATGACTTTTTTTTTTTAAGATTTACACACACACACACACACACACACACACACACACTTAGACTTTTGCTTCTTACTTTGCTGGAGCCCCCAGGAAGAGGTGGAAAGGAAATAATTCCCATATGAAAAAGCCTGATTGAGGTGGGATGAAATGATACAGTAAGAGAGGTACTGGCAGACTAGGATAGTGTTCCAGTTCTGCCACTGACTAGCTTCACAGTACTTGTCAGATTAAATCCTGGGCCTCATTTTCTCATCCTCATAGTTGAAGGGCTGGTCTAGAACCAGCATTGTCCGATAGAAGTTTGTATGGTGATAGGAATGTCTTAGGTGTGTGTTATCCAGTATGGCAGCCACTAGCTAGCTACACATGGCTGTGTTGGACACTTAAACGGTAGTTAGTACAGCAGAAAGACCCAGTTTTTCCTTTTGATTTAATTGGTGTAAATTTAAATAGCCATAGGTCTGCCATGTTGGACATGGCAGATATACAAGAGCATTTTCCAAACTTAACTACTCATTAAAACCACCTCTTGGGGCTCTTGTAACCATACAAAACCTCTCTCCCAGTGATTATCATTCAGTAGGTCTATAGTGGGGCCTATAGATGCATGCCTGACAAAGTTTTTATCAGATTGCTTAGGGAGGTACCCCAGTTCTCACTTGAGTATTGATGACTTAAAATGTAATATAGTGGAAATAAGCTGTGGACAAAGTTGGCAAACTGGCCAGGCTCTCGCTCTGCCACCTCCTGACCTCTGATCTTAAGTAAATTTCGTAACCTCTTTAGGCGTCCTCTTTCTCACCTAATTCTGGATTGAGTTTCAATTCCCAGGGTTTCTGTAAAGCCAATCAGATGTGATAACCAGCATATAAGAAATTGTGAGCTGCTGTAAAGTATTAAGATGTCTTCTCAAAATCCCTTTTTCTTTTCCCTTTTTCACTACTAACCTGTTACTACTTCTTATGGAATAGGTCCCATACAGTAACTCACTTCATTTAGTAATTTCTTTTTTTTTTTTATATATATATATTTTTATGTATTCAATTGTCACAGAGAGATACCACAAGTAGGCAGAGAGGCAAGCAGAGAGCGGGGGCCGGGAAGCAGGCTGCCTGCTGAGCAGAGAGCCCGATGTCCGGCTCACTCCCAGGACCCTGAGATCATGACCTGAGCCAAAGGCAGAGGCCTAACCCACTGCACCACCCAGGTGCCCCTAATTTAGTAATTTCGTGTTCCCCCCCAACTATTTGGCTATAGTTTGTAGTCTGTGTCGAGGACATGTGTAGTAAATCTAACACTTTGTTGTATTTCTATTGCTTAGCATAATGATTTGTTTATATTGCTCAATATATATTGGATGATATAGCCCATTGCTTTACTTTTAATTTTCAAAACTTTAGTTAGTTGGTTGCAGATTATTTTAGACACCAGATGACCTCCTTCTGTACACATATGTGTTTAACCCTATTTTTAATTTTTTCATTATTAATACCCCATGGTTATTATTATCCAGTGAAAATGTATCTTTTACACGACCAGCTCCAAATATATTTTCAAAAGATAAACACCAGAGACACCTGGGTGGCTCAGTGGGTTAAGCCTCTGCCTTCGGCTCAGGTCATGATCTCAGGGTCCTGGGATCCAGCCCTACATTGGGCTCTCTGCTCAGCGGGGAGCCTGCTTCCCCCTCTCTCTCTGCCTGCCTCTCTGCCTTCTCTCTCTGACAAATAAATAAATAAAATCTTAAAAAAAAAAAGATAAACACCAAGAGAATATCATCACCTTAGGTCAGTGTTTTTAGGTTATATCAAATCTGTTTAACTTATTTTTTGCTGTGTTCACATACTAACAAATGAACTCATTTGATTGCTGAGACTGCATTTGCACTGCAGCCCCAGCTTTAGTACAAATTCTGTTATTTATGGTAGAGAAGATAGCTAATGATGATCTTAAAGTCCCTCTCG